GGGTGATATTTGAGAGAAGGCGGGGAATCCCCAGATTCGATCAGCCTGCAGACTGACGTTTTTTTTTTTTGCCCCATTTCACTAGTATCATATTGATAGGCTCCCAATAACATTAGTCAGTGGCTGAACGGGGGGGGGGCGGTTGCAACCCCCCCCTCTAGATCCACCACTGGTATACAGAGGTTGATGCCGTGGGACAAGCTAGGGTGAGCACTGACATCTGTCTGGGTATAAGAATTGTTGTGGTGTCCTTGACCCAGTTGCATTTTAACTGAAATGAAGAAACGTGCTGGATATGTATGTGTGGGGTCGTAGCTAGATACAATAATGTAACCCAACAAATGTAACCCCTACTCTTGTTGGGTTACATTATTGTATCTAGGTCGTAGCTAACTAATTTTACTCGGAGGGAAGTGGCATTACGCTTCTGATGCTATCAAGTCCACACTGCATTATGGGAGTGCAACCAGATCCACCAGTGAGTCCCTTTTAAACTCCTATATTCTCTCTACAGACTCTATAGCTTTCACACCTAGTGACCATCCTTTGAGGTGAAATTAGCTGTGGTACCAAAAAACTGTTTGTGCGCCCTCATTCATCACGTGACAGCACGGAGAGTCTGCCTTGCAGAAAAGATAAGCTAGAAGTGCAACACACTTTTAACAGATTTTAAACACAAAAACTAGCGCATATTATAGACAGGAAATCTGGTCAGTTTAGCAGTGGTTCATGGTTCTTCTGAATAAAGCACGTTTTCAATATCTATTCTAGCAAACAATACCTTTACCCTGTCACCAAAATGTTAGCACAATCTTAAAAAAACATTAAACTAAGTTTCAATACACTTTCAACACAATTTCGTTGGGACACAGTTCAGATAGAAAGCACCTCGACTGGTGAAGGTTGGTTTTTAGCTCATCTGACATAGTCAGATGCAGCTTGTAGAATCGCATGAGCGTCCGTCCGTCAACAGTTGGGCACAAATCTTAACCGCTCGACCCGTGGGGGGGTAATCCGAAAACGAGTTGGGATGTCGAAGCTGGGGGGTCAAAGGTCAAAGGTCAAGAGGTGTAAAAGAAGGGGGAACATTCCTTCCTTAACTTAAGGTATAGGGAGGAAATGCAGAATTGCGGCACAAATCTAAACGGCTCGACCTAGGCTCGGATAAGTCAGTGTATAGCATCGATGGTAGGAAAAGCCATCACTGTGCCAAATTGGAGGTCACAGGTCAAATGTCAATGGGGCATATGGCAGATTTTAGACATTTTCTGAGGACATGGTCTGACGGAGCGATGGAAAAACTTGTTTCAGCGGTGACCTACCATTTTTATGGCTTTATGAAAGCACCATGCAATGTACTTTCGCGCTGACATGCCGAAGAGTAAGTGTCGGATAACCTTTTGACTCTCAAGAGGAGGTTAAACATGGATTTGTTTCGTGTGTAGAAAGAATTTGACTGCCGGGTTTGCTAGTAGAATCTATACATGCCTGTACGTATGAGGCTACAATATCACAGTGAATTTCAAAGCTAAATTTGGTTGAAGAAGGTTTATGCTCCTTAAATCGTATAATTTCTATGGCATTCTGTACGTCAGTTGTGATTACATGTAACTTATGCCACCTGCCAGTGCATGTGGTGTGATAGTACTGTGTAGTTTTTGCCTGCGATTAATTAGTTACAGGTGGCAGCTCTCTGTTTCAGCCTGTAGGCTTGCGTAGGTAATGGATGAGTGCTTACCTATTCTGTCTTGCAAATAGTTGTTGCTACTACGTACGATGGGTAGCTTCCATCTTTAATCTTAAGACACTTCAACGTACGCGCCATCTCGTGGCAACTTTCATAACGATCCCAACGAACATTCCTTCGAGAAGGTTCCTGATATCATCCCTGTGCCTTCCACTGTTTTGGCACGTGTGTGAACACATTTGGGACTAACAGGGTTTACTAGAATCCCACCACTCCACTACAGAGTCACCGCAGTAGACGTGAGATGAGCGCTGTCGCTCCGCGGCACTTGTGTTCACATTTCCATCACAGGCAAGATGCCCAATGCAATGGAAATGTTTTAATTATTTAAATGTGTAGCTACACACAAAATTTGTTGTTATAAATGAATACATAACAGCTAGCTTCTAAACGATTACAATAATATTCAGGTTGGAATATGAGGTCTGTTTTGCAACATTTACAGGAACGCTATTTCATGTCACCCTAGTTACATGCCCAATTCCATACCATTTGGCATTTGCCAAAAAGAACCCATTGCATGGGGCGTACCCTAGCTGTGCTTGTCAAGTATTTTGAAATACAAATAGACCGAATATAGGTTTAGTGTGCATATGTCACCTACACATAATGCAATTATTATATATAGTTTCTGTGTGTGTCTGTATGTTTGTGGAGGAGTGAGGGCAGCCTATATAATACTAATATATATAGTTAAAATAATACTACAGTGTATATATATATATATATATGTATATACTATATTATATATATAATACTATATATATTATAGTAATACTAGTATTAGTATATATATTAGTATATATACTATATTTAATACTAACGTGACGTCGTATTACAATTTTACAGCCGCGAGGAAGGAGAGTTATTGGAGGATGGAGAGATTGATGATGATGATGATGAGGATAATGATATTCCCAGCCCTGCAGCAGCACAGTTCGTTACCCAAACTTGGAAAGGTCAGTTCTGTAATGTAAAGTGAAAAATAACTAGGAGTGTTGGTTGTCTAATGCATTATTCATTAGTTGTTTTTTATTGGCATTTTTAAAGAGACAGTAGCCTCTAGGATTTTACTGCATACAACTGTACTTACTGTATAACAAATCGTCTATACCCACACGTATTTGTTACCAGATACCTAATTTAATTGTTATAATTATTTACACATCACGGCTACGAAATGTGAACGGCGCCATGACACCCGCGACCGTGCTGCCACCCCGAAAAAGTTGGGTAATGCTATCCCCCGGGCGTGGAGGGAGGTGACCGCAACGTGGCAGCACTAGTGTTGGGATAGTGTTAGGATTAGGGTTAGGGTTAGGGTTAGGTAATTTTCCGGGGCATCATATAATCTTCCACACCAACGATAATTTTTGTGATCACAATGCTATATAAGGCGCGCATAACAATATATTTAGTGAGTAGTGTGCGGTGAGTAAGGTAATGTAGTAAACGTTTTGGAACGTCATCAGCAACCGTTATCACATACCTACCCGGGGATAGGTATAGCCGGAAAGCAACACCAAAAAGTTCGTATTTGGACCAATTATGGCAGGTTACAGACTGAGGCTATATAAAGGCAATTATATTCATACCTAAATGATTTAACCGAAAACACCCGATTTAACTCATTAGCAATTTATCCATATAATAACCTGAAACTATTATTCGGTATAAAATTACAATCCTTTGGGGCTTAAATAATAAATACGAAACACCCTCGTCTTAGCCCTTGCGGAAAGTGTTTGCCAACTTATCAGATCGGTGCGCTTTGAGCCACCTCGTGTAATCAAAGTGTATACAGTGGCTTTTAAAACATTTTAAGAATATTTCTCACATGGTGATTGAACCATGAAACTTTTATGTAGCTTATTATAACCTAAATTAGCGAAAATAACCCTAGCAACCTAAGAAACTCCTCACTTTAACAAGGAGTCAACCATGTATTAGTAACCTATAAAAGAACACCGTCTGTAAGCCCCCGCAACACGGTAAATCGTGCATAGCGCGACTAGTTCAGCGCTCAGCACTAATCTTCCAATGTGCAGACGAATCTACTGTGTGGCGGATCGATTAATGATTTTCGTCTCGCGAGCCGCGAGAAACCACGCCCACTATCTTCCCGTGTTTCATATTGGTCTGCGCGAGGCAGAAAAATCATGTGTGCGGGTGTTGACCCGCTGATAAAAACGAAAAACTCTACAGAGCAGCGGCATTGAATTGTTCACTCGATGCGCGCATTGGGATTTGTAAATCCGCCATTGGGGGGATCATCACATGACTACAGTACGGCAACCCGCTTCGTAAATCCGTTCTCAGCATAACTCCAACCGTGTGCGGGGGTGAGATCCCTGAGCACGAAACCACCGCCCGTAATAATCTACCGGTCGGGGTGCTTTAGGCACATAATTCCGTAGGTGGGTGCAATGTAAATTGTAATGAAACATCTCTATAGAATGGACAGTGCTCTTTGAAGGCATTCTAAGAAGTAGTTTCGCTTGAGGGATCCTATGAACAGGTTTTGTGACTGGATATTTCTGCATGCATGGGTATCATTTTAGGGTATTTAACTATAGTTGCTCTGCACGTGGGATTGACACCAGGACCAACCATCAACTAGGAATATTTATTTATTGAGGCAACAATTAAAAAAATATTTGTTTGCCCTCACCCGACCCAGGCTGAAAAGTTTGGGTAGGTAGGTCGGTTTTGCTTTTCTTTTTTCGAGGGCGGGGGCCTTTTTACATATTCAGCATGGTGTCTATACATGCATGCTCGGGTGTGCTTGTGTGGAGATACCAATTCTATGTTGAATGTTGCTTTTGCTTGGTACATATAATGTATTGCCTACAGATTTATTTAATGTACAGTGATACAATTTGTTTAAAAAAAGAAAAAGAAAAAGATCAATAAAATCTCGAAAGAGTCGGCCCCTTTTTGGCGGGTCGGTCGGGTGAGGGCAAACAAACAATATTATTATTATGGCCTGAGATTAGCTGATAGTTATTTGTAGTGCAGATATAATTATGCCCGTATAACAAATGGAAAAAAATTTCTCTGTTATGAAGACGGAAGGTGTATCATTAAGATCTGATAGTTGGAAAAATGACACATTTCAGCTGCCACTTACTTATAGAGAGCTAATCCACGCCCACTCGGGGGTCGGCTAAATCCATGCATACAAAAAATGAACTACCGGAGTCATTAACACCAAACGTAAGGTCTGGTGTGTAGGCTACTTAGGATGTATATATCCATGCAAAACCAAAGCAGCATTTTTAGAGATTGGAATTTTGCCTTCACCTTATTGCAAAAAAGGACCGAACAGAGAAGCTCATAATACAATAACCAGTGGTGGGGGGCAACCCTCCTTGCTCAATCCCTCGTCCCTCGCCATAAATTTCTAACCAGGTCAGCCCTGATGTGTTACGTGGCAACATAAAAAATAATCATTTTAATGAAGCAGAAATACTATCGTTGTATAATTTATCTTTAATGTATATAGCAATGTTTGACTCGATATCAGAAATGATAATTTAACTGCTTCAAGCAACTATTCAGTATTAGCAATCTAAATCAGCATCATCTCAATACATTTCTGTATTTAATCCACCGCAAAATAAATAATAATAATAATAAAATAATAATAACTAAGGTCCATGCCAGAAGAGAGACAAACCAAAAACAGCACCATAACCAATGCTAGGTCCATGCCAACTGTCATGATGGCGGCCATCGGGACGAGCGCACCGGGAAGAAAAAGGGGAGGAATAAAATTCCGCCAGCAACACAACGAAAACACGTTTCAAGAGAGAAAAAACATAACTGAGTCAACGATAAAGACACGGGTAAGCAGCATCTGTATTCAGAAACAGTTCATCTTTTTATGAGCTAAATCGTTTGGGGGAATTCAGTAATCTCTGCTAGCGTAAACTGTTTCTACTGCACAGTCCCAATAACGTTACTATGAAAATTAAACTAACATGGTTTTAAGTCACTTTGATTTGTGCTGTAGCGAAACATTTTCATTTCGATGGTTTAGTAATTACCAAGTAGATCAAATACTGAAGTATCATACGTTACGAAGATTCAATAAGTGATCACAGGAGCAAGCATTTTTAAGTTTAAATGGGATTGCTTGTGAGGCAGCATATATTGCTAAACAGAAATATTTGTACCAAAAACAAAAGCAAATGTAACATGTACACTAAAGTCAACAATTGATAGAATTGTAATCGCACCACTAAGGAATGACACCCTCAATAAACAGACACAATCGTTCATCAGGTCAAAAAGGTAGATACTCAACTTTTTAATAAATAAGGCACGTTGCTCTTGCAGCAGAAGATTAGAACTGAGTCGGAGACCACTATCACGAGGCGACACCGGTAACGAGTTGAGGCAGAAGCGGGAGAAGTCATTACCCTTACCAATGCTAAAAGCGAAGAGGGAGAACTCAAGGAAAAAGATACCTGT